CCAACCTATATATCAGCCGCTTGTCCGCGGCAGAGTTAAAGGTTCTTAAGCAGTCTAGCAGATTACAGTCCATGTCCATGTCTTGTGGTGCTACTGGTTTGTGTACACACAATTACTCTGGGTGCCTTCAGCCTCCTTTACTTTCTGGGCCGTGCTCGTCACTCTAGCTTAATTTTAAGGCGCTTCTATACTCCTATTATGTTGTTCACAGATCTCCTTTCGCTTTTATTAGTGCAATATCTTGCCGCACACTGTTGATTGTATTCTTGCACGGCTGTATAAAAGCATTGGCTATTCTTTGGCAGTAACAACTCTTATTTTTACCCTGCCTCTCTCCTCTTCTTATTCTCATGTACTTATTTCTGGCCCTCCATGCTGGCCTCGGTGCTCTGTTATCCCTATGTTGTCCGCGTCTGGCCTCCTCCTGCATTATGAGCTGAACCACGAGTGTGTCTTGTTCTTCTCTACTGCCTCCTGAGAGGTGTATACTGTGTGTGGGGTGTGTCTACTGATGGGGCCAGCAGCCGGGGCCAGGAGCCGGGGCCAGCAGCCAGGGCCAACAGCCAGGGCCAGCAGCCGGGGCCAGGAGCCGGGGCCAACAGCCAGTGAAGGAAGGCATCGGTTGGAAAGACAATCAAATATTAATTAGCTTGTAGATCAAGGAAGGGAGAGCCAATGACGGAAACAGACTTGAGTCACCCCGAAGCCAGGAGGTAATGACTTGATCACCCAATTAACTACGGTGTCTCCATCGCCCTCCCCGCTGACCGCTGGGACGCAACCTCCACTTCCATCCTCTTACCTCATCACGTGCTGAGGAAATCCTCCAGGAATGTACACCTCTTATTTATTGATCCCACACAGCAGCGGCGCACTCTTTCCTCCTCTCTCTTTATCAGGAGAATTGATCTCACAAGTGTCTACGTGAGAGAACATGTTCCTCTTGCGAGTCAGGCTGTGAATAAATGATCTCAAATGGAGTGATGTTCTAGACTAATGGCACAGTCAGCACGAGGCTGTTATTGGCTGAGCGCCTTGTGTTATAAAATCAGTTTTCTGGTTGTCCACGAAGTTGGATCAGGCGAAGAACCTTGAGAACGGTGGCCCTACAGACACCAGTCAGACCGCCAACATGTGTCTGGTGCTGAAGACTGGTGTTCTCTGACCAGTCCAACCAGGGCGGGTCAAGACTGGAGACGAGTCCATGTGTGTACCCTGACCACAGTCTGAGGTAAGAACCGTGCTACATGCGGGAGAGCGCTGTGTGCTCAGGGCTCTGAGCACACAGCGGGCTCAGGGCTCTGAGCACACAGCGGGCTCAGGGCTCCCGAGCACACAGCCCCAGCAAAAGGACGAGCTTTTGGAGCAGCCCGTCTTCCAAACAAAGACACAAAAGTGATTCCATGCACCCGCCAAACCCCCTGTTTATGAATGAAAAACGGTTTACACACAACTGATTTCATTCGAACACTTCCGAAACAAATGCTTCACTGACGAATTTTGTTCGAACCCCAACGCTGTAAATGCTTCACCCACGTACTACAAATACAAATAATCCCCAACAGAACCTAACTACCTAACTCAAGTTAGGCTTAAATATTCAGCACATTCTAATATGTAATAATATTACTTCACATTTGAGAAAATACAATTATGAATGCGCAGAACGATAAAACTAGTAGATGTGTCTTTGGGGGTAGGTGGCCACCCAGGCGAGTCTAGGCTGAGGACAGGTGTGTTTCTAACAATAATAACATTTGATTGGGAAGTTGCTTTGCCGGGGAACTGTACACAATGTAAGCAAAGTCAGCCAAAGATTGATAAAAAAAATACAAGTTGGTAAGCAGATGCGTCGATGCTTGAACCACGTCAAGTCTACGTCAACATATAATACCAGAATAAACAAGAACTCACAGAGCTGTAAACCAGTATTTACACTGCAGCAGGAGGGTGTAGGAGGGTGACGGCGGTGACACGTATTGCTGCCTCATCAACACCGAGGTATTCAGTCCAACACCTTGCTGAAGGCGGCTCACACGTCCGTCATGACCTCAACCCTTGTACACAGGTACACTCATCAAAGGTGCCAACGACCAGGAGTGCCACTACAGCGGTTGTTGTCTGACACTCTCCACGTGACACCAACCAGACGACGCGGTCGGTTGCTCTCCGGTGATTGTTTATCATTATTAAACGTAATAGAAAATAAGAAAATTATAGGAGGGACTAATTAAATATTTATTTTAAGTTTATCTGAGTGGCAAGGCTCTGAATAGTTTCCCACAGTCGGGGACATGTAGCCTGTTAGCTTTATCATCATTCCCTTTGGCCAAGCACTGACCTTTCCCAGGATGGAAACCCCAACAGTTGCCTAGCTCCCGGACACTTGTTTACTGCTAGGTAAACTGAGGACTCAAGTGAAAGGAAACGTTGCCAAAGCACTTCTGTCCTGCAGCGGGAAATGAACTCTGGACCTTTAGGGTGTGACCCAACTACGCTGACCACTGCGCCAGAGGCACTGACACATATATAACATTACTGAGTACAGAAGCGGTCGTGTTTGAGCTCTGTATATGTTTATGTTGATACATCATATTTGTGCTGGTGTTATAGCCCTCTGTACCTCCCCTCCCTCATGCTCTCCCTCCCTCCCTCCAGAGAGAGAGAGAAAGAGAGAGAGAGAGAGAGAGAGAGAGACAGAGACAGAGATATGA